CATTATAAACAATTGAAACATGAATAAACATATTATTCTCACACTTAATTCATTATTTCGAATACAAAATACCAAAACATAATTAGATTTACATTATAAAAAAAAAAAAAAACAAACTTACAATGCCCAGATTTTCGCGTGCGGTGGCTGATGCAGCTTGCAGAAAGGGTTTTCGCACTGGTGGCCTGGTAGGCAGTGGGCGTCTGGTGTCTGGTGGCCGCCCGAGGGGGGCGTGCAGCCGGTGTAGGTGCAGGGTGCAGCGTGAGGGTGTCGGCTGAAAGAGTGAGGGGGTTAGGGTTAGAAATGAAAACTGATTACTTGTTTTGATTTTTGAAAAAAAAGCCTTTTTTAAAATAAAAAAAAAATACACAATTTTACCAGGTTTTAGGTCCGGACCTAAAACCCCCGGTTTTAGACCGGATCCGGACTAGAACCGGAATCCCTAAATTTCAAAGATCGGGACCGGACCTGAATCTACAGGTCCGGATCAAGTCTACTCCCACAACAGGTCCGGTTCGGGTCGGTTTTCAGGTCCGGTCTTGTTTATGTACACCTCTAGTAATATTGATGAGTTTATTGACTGAGGCCCTAATATTATTAGCATTAATTTAGACCTTGTAGTACTCTACTATTGTCCTGCACTAAAAGTCTAAAATGAAATATTTTATTATAATACAAAGGTTTTTTATAACACCACAAAAAAAAAAAAAAAAAAAAAACAACTCCAAAAATTGATTCCTACACCACTTAACAGATTTTTGGATGGCTTCGTTAGTCGGATCCACCACGTACACATGTCAGTATTGCATTGGTTTAAAAAAAAATTTAAAAAAAGAAAAATATCCTAAAACCCTAACCCAGCCCCAACCTCAGTGCCACCACCGGCAACCCTTGACCCCCATCGTGAGCAGCCCCGGCCCTGTCCCCAACCACCGGCACTTGTGAAACCCACCTGAGCCGACCAGCAGCATGAAGCACCACCCTAGCCCAACCTTATACGCCACAACCCCAGCTAGTACCGAAAATCTGGCAACCTAAACCCATTTGACCTACCCCGAAAACCACCCTCTATTACCTTTTACCCTTAAAACGACTGAAATCGACCATGGCAGCCCTCGATTGGTCAATTCGGCCGCCAATTTCAATGGTCGTTTAAGGGTTGGGGAAATGGGGGTGGATTTCGCGGTGGTTCACTACTAGAAAATAGCCAATCAACGACGGAAAAAAAAATCCTTCGGAAAACCCTGAAATTCCGTTGGAAATCCCCATTTCCGACGGAATTCCGTCGGAAGGCACCGTCGCATTACATTTTGTTGGAATTTCGCGATATTTTGAGCGAAATTCCGTCGAAAAGGTCCATTCTGACATAATTTCCGACAAATTTTGTTCTGTCAGAGTCAAGTTTGACTTAATTGGGAAGTCTGTCGCAATGTTCCGACGAAACATTTTCCGTCGGTATGAGTTATATTCCGAAGGAATTTTCCGTCGGAAAAGTCATTAAAAAAAACAGCCCCACCCTTAACCCTTACCCCACCTAGATCCACCACTGCCCACACCCCTACTCACCACCCCAACCCACCCCCACCACCATACCCCCCTACCCCCATAATAACCACACATGCATACCCCCTGCCCCCTACCCACCGTAAACCACCCACCTCCACCCTGTAAACCACCTACCACCACCAGCCACCACCAAAAATTCAAAAACCCACAAAAATCACACAAAAAACAACCAAGCAAAAATAAATCAACAAAAATAAACTCAAATTAAACAACGAATCAAACATTAACCACACAATCAAAATTAACCCACAATAATAAATAAAAAAAAAAAAGTCAAACTAAATTAATAGAAACAAAACGAAGACATACCTTCAATTCCACCTCTGAAACCTCAAATTTGGGATTATATGGTTAAATTCGGCCATAAAAACTCCAGATCTGAAATTTTGATAGTCAAATTTGACCATAAACACCATAATTATTGACGACCACCAGCCCACACTCCACCGTTTGTTGTCGAAAATTTGAGGGAAAAGGAAAAAATCAAGAAGAAAAACATAATGAAAATGGAGGAAAAGTGAAAAAAGAACGAAAAGAAAACGAAAAAGGAAAAGAGGATGAAGGAGAACAAGAAAGGAAAAGAGGATGAAGGAGAACGAAAAAGAAAACAAAAAAGGAAAAGAGGAAAGAGAACGAAAGAGAGAGAGAATGAAGGAGAAAGAAGGAGAACGAAGAAACAGAGAAAGAAAGAAGGAGAAAGAGGAACAGAGAAAGAGAAGAAGAGAAGAAGTGAGGAGAGAGAAAGAGAAGGAGAATGGCGGAAATGGGGGGGGGGGGGGTTTGGGCTGTTTTAGGGTTTTCTTATTTTTTTTTAATTAAGATTCCGACAGAAATTCCGTCGAAAATTTCCGACGGAATATTAATCCGTCGGAATATTTGGGATTTTCAAGGGAATATTCAGTTGAAAATTTTCAACGGATTTTAATTCCGTCGGAAATTTAGCTTTCCCACGGAAAGCCTATAGTTCTGAGGGAATTAATATCCGTCGCGAGAATTCCGACGGATTTTCCGTCGTAACGTACCTTTTTGGACGGAATTTTCAAACAGACCCTAATTTTGTCGGAAAGTTCAAATTTCCCGACGGAATTTAGGTCCGTCGGAACGATTTCGTCGGAAAACGGCCTATTTCTAGTAGTGGTTTTTGTGGCGGGCTGAATGGGTTTGAAGGGTTGAGTGGCTTTTGCGGTGGTTTGAAGGGCTTGGGGTGGTTTTCGGGGAGGGGGGAGTGGGGAAGAGGTGGAGTCGGCGGTTATAGGGGTGGTAGGTAGGCTGTTTTGCCGGTATTTGTGGGGGCGGGGATGCCGGCGGCAGTCGACGGCTGGGGCAAGTGGTGCCGGTGGTGATGGGGCTGGCTAGGTTAGGGGTTATGTTTTTTTCCTTATTTTTTAATTTCTCTTTTTCTCTTTATTAATTTATTTATTTAAATCAATAGACACTTGACACATGTCTTCTAGGAGCCCTACTAACGGATTCCATCCAGGAATCAATTTAAGTAATGGTGAAATCAATTTTTGGAAGTTTTTGTGGTGTTATAATAAAAGTTTTTTTTTGTGATGTTATAATCCAAATTGTGACAATTTTGTGGTTTTTTTTGCAAAATTCCTTAATATTAAAGGCCGCACAAGTTTTAAAAAAGGTTATTATGTTAAATATAAGGTTACTATGTTAAAATTAATGTCAATATAATGTCAGTGCGTGCGTATAAGCCTCAGGTTCACAATAATATTATTGTGAACCAGGTCCACGCAAAATTTTGAAGCTCAAGTAGGGGGAAATGAAAATGATAAATAATTATTTATTATAAACGCAAACCGTTTGACTACCAAACATAACCTTAAAGAATATTCTAAAATGGATGAAAAACGTAAAGTGTTAAAAAATTCAAAACCAAAGATAGTATACCTATAATCATTCATGCTCAAAATGAAGATATACATAGTGCTAAAAGTCACAGATACAAAAATGAGCTTGGGCCACACCTTACCGATAACAACAATTGTTCACTGAATTCAAAAATTTAACAGGCTTGGACACAACTGTTTTGATTCTTTTATTAATATGGGATACCCTCCCAATATTTCCCCCTCCCCCTACTTTTACATTCGATAACACTTCTACTCGCATGTGAGCACAACTATAGCTAGGTCAGGACAATCGGGGCGGCCCCCAGGGCCCCCAAATCAAAATCTCAGTTTCATTGAAAGATATTTAAGCTATATAAATAAATCTTCTCATATGTTAGACAAATTAATAAACTAGCTCAATGGTCATAGCAAGTTGTTATAGTGGAATTTTAGTTAGCTTCCTGTTTTGGGCCGGGGTTGTCATTCATGTTTTTGTTTCATTTTTAGTTCTTTTCTTTCTTTCTTTTTTTTTTATTTTTTTAAGCAATTTTTAGTTCTTTCTTCTTCTTCTTTCTTTGTTTTTAAACCTATTCTTCTTTCTAATTTAACCATTAGCTTTTTTTTTTTTTTTTTGAAAAATTTAAAAGAACATATAATTTCCTTATTTTGACCAAGTTCTTAATATTCTACTTTAATGAAGGGGTGGATGAAATTCAAACTTGTGATCTTTGTGCCACTGCACGTTGTCATCGATATCACATTAAAGAACTAAGTCAAACAAAAACTTAAACTGAAGGTTGAAGCTTATGATTGGTTTATTAGCTCTTATTTTAATTTTATAAATTTTTTACGCCGCCATAGATATGAATGGTAAACTTAAATTCCTAATTATATTCATTACATTTCTTGCAAGTGTTAAGACCTTTTCTTCATCCAAAATAATCCTTTTATAAAATAGTATTATCAACATTTTTTTTATTTATCAAATTTTTTGTTTCTTTTATGTAATTTTTATTCTTATTTTATAGTTTATCGAAAAAATATTTATTTTATATTGGATTAAAATTTTCAAAAATTATATTTACATTGTAGATATTAGAAAACTAATTATGTCCATATAATCATTGGCAGAACCAGCGTGGGTCCTGGTGGGTCATGTGACCCTGTTGGTCATGATCAATTAGCCAGCTTAAGTGAAGACCTGTGCACATAGAATTCTGATGTAACAGAATTCTGTTATTGTTATAACAACTTAATTCTGTTATAACAAACTGATGTATATATATACTGTACTCCCTTTTACAATTGCAACTGATTCATTTCTGAATAAGAAAATCTCTTCTCTTCTTTCTCTCTCTACTCTTTCTCTCTCAATACATTGAGATTTTCTACATGGTATCAGAGCAGGCGATTGAATTTCTTCGTTTCTGCAATTTTTTCAGCAATTCAGAGTTACAATTCTGAAATAATCTTCGTCTTCTTCAGTTGAGTTCAATATTGATTCAAATTTCTGCGAATTTTATCAAGGAAATTTAGAGAGTTTGATCAATATTTCTTCATATATTTTGTTTGCTTCAGTTTATTGTAAAAATGGCAGCAAATTCTGTTACACAAGATGTAACATCACCTTATTACATAAATCCTTCTGAAAACACTTCGTTGCCTATAGTTTCTGAAAAATTTTCTGGTGAAGCATATGGTGAATGGAAGAGAAGCATGATGATTGCTTTGGCTACGAAGAACAAGCTAGGGTTTGTGGATGGAAGCCTACCTAAGCCAGCTGAAAATGATGTGAATTGTGCAGCATGGAAAAGGTGTGATGCAATAATCATTTCTTATATTTTGAGGTCTTTGGAAAATTCGATTGCAAGGAGTGTATTGTTCTTGCCTACTTCTCAAGAAATCTGGAAGGATTTAGAAGAAAGGTTTTCACAAACTTGTGGACCTCAATTGTATTCTTTACAACAATCTTTGGCTGATTTGAAGCAAGGACCAGAAGTTTCTGTGACAGATTTCTTTACACAGATTAAAGCAATATGGGATCAGATTAATCAAATGAATCCTTTGCCTACTTGTGCAAGTAATGGATGTACTTGTACTCAGATTTTCTTGAAACAACAACAAGAAGAAAGACTAGTTCAGTTCTTAATGAAGCTGGATAGTAGATTCACAACAGTCAGATCGAATATCTTGATGATGCAGCCTTTGCCATCTATTTCAATGGCATATAAACTGCTTGTTCAGGAATAAAAGCAAAGGAAAACAACTTTGATTGATGAAGATTACTCAAGAAACAGGGGCATGGTGTTTGCTACTGATTACAAAAAGAATACAGGTGGCAAGAATCATTTTCAGGGTTCTAGAATGACATTTCGATCAACAAATGGTAATAAACTGGTGGTTGCTGGAAAAAAACCTTTCTGCAATCATTGCAAGTTTCCTGGGCATACTATTGAGACTTGTTTCAAATTACATGGCTATCCATCAAACTTCACTAAAGGGAAAGGAAGAACTGTTGCAGCAGTAGCTCAAATTGAAGATGAGGAGGACCTAGCTGATCATACTACACATGTTTCTGTGGATCAGTTTAACAACATACTCAAGGCTTTACAATGTCAAGAACCTGGCTCATCAGCTGAATCACAGGCTCATGTGGCAGGTACATGCTTATTAACCTGGTCAAACATTAAATGGATAGTAGATAGTGGAGCAACATACCATATATGTTCAAGTTTAGACTTGTTTGAGACATATAAAGTGTTTGATAAGCATCCTAATACTATTACTATTGCTGATGGAAAACATGTGATAGTGGAACATATAGGGACAGTTTCCTTTAAAAATGGTATAGTGTTGCAGAATGTATTACATGTGCCAGGCATCAAGTTCAATCTTATTTCTACACATAAATTGTGTACTGACATGAACTGTGAAATTGTATTTACTCATGATAAGTGCTTAATTCAGGGGCCAACCTTGAATCAATCAGTGGTTTTTGGTAGTCTAGCATCAGGGCTGTATGCTGTAAATGACAGAACAGCAAAGAAGGAAGAGCAATTGCTACAGGAAGAGGCAATAGGTGGATGTAGTATGGTCAGAAGCCTTGATGATGATGCTAAGCTTTGGCATCTTAGAATGGGGCATATGCCTTTCAATAAGCTGTACCTAGTTAATCCTGTTTTTGATAATAAAGTTGGCAGTGCAATAGTATGCCAAGTTTGTCATAAGGCTAAGCAGACTAGAAAACCCTTCCCTGATAGTCTTGCTAGGTCAGAGAAACGTTTTGGTTTATTGCATATTGATACTTGGGGTCCATATAAAACTAAAACTCATGATGGTTTTAGTTATTTTCTCACAATTGTAGATGATTTTTCAAGGCATACTTGGACTTTTCTTATGAGAAATAAAGATGATGCAGTTCAAATTATTACTGATTTGATTGTTTTCATTAAAACTCAGTACAACATGGATGTTATGTGTATTCGGACTGATAATGCTAAAGAATTGTGTGAGGGTAATATTGTTCAAGTGTACAGAAAACATGGGATAAGGCATCAAAAGTCATGTGTAGATACCCCACAACAGAATGGCAGGGTGGAAAGGAAACATAGGCATTTATTGGAAACAGCAAGGGCTCTCTATTTTCAATCAAGGGTTCCTGTGAAGTTTTGGGGAGAGTGTTTGCTGACTGCTACACATGTAATAAACAGAATGCCTTTGAGTTCTGTTAATTTTGCATCACCTTATGAGGTTCTAAATGGGAAGAAACCTGATCTACATCATTTAAAGGTGTTTGGCTGTCTATGTTATGTTTCTACCTTGAAAACAGGAAGATCTAAGTTTGATTCAAGAGCCTCACCTTGTGTTTTATTAGGTTATCCACCTAATCAGAAGGCTA